GGGACTGGGTTCGAACTAAGGCTGTGATTTGAAGTCGCTGAGAGCAGCATCCCTTTTGCTGACTGTGATAGAAGGCCATCTCAGAGGAGGGGTAGCTATCAAACATCCTGGAGAGAGCAGAAAAGTAGGTGTACCTTAGTGTCAGTTCTTTGCCTACTTGTGTGAGTCAGAGAGCTCATTCAGTGTTTCACAAATTACCACTTATATTTGTAAAAGATTCCCACCCTGTATTTTGTGTAACAATGCGGTCCTCACTGAATGAGTGCAACTGTGATATGTTCCTCTCCTCCAAGTGAGTCTTTAGCAAGTTTTTCCTTATTTCAACAAGCAGGTTCTAAACTAGGTGGGCTTCCCTTTTGGGTGCTTACCCTTCCAAAGTTTGTTGCTGTTACAGACTTCACAAGGATGTCCTGAACAATTTGAAAAATGAAAGGCTCTCATGCTTTAGGGACCAAAGCACAAATCCAGTGATGCACTCAGGTGTATTAAGGTCACTCACAGGCAAAGCTAGAGGTAGTGCTGTTAGTCAGACCCTGCTCAGATGCATTGCTCTTATCTGAGGCCATATGTTGCACTAATTCTATGTGAAGGCCAAGACCAGGGCAGAGTCAGCTGTTGTTAATAGCTTTCCCTTTTTGCCTTTCTTTGCAATACTGCTGCTTCACTTGGGAAAGGCAGAGAAAAGGTGCAAGGAGGAATATCTGTCAATACAGTAAATCAATGGATTGAAAATAAAAACATTTTGAAACAGTGAGATTTTTAAAAAGTGTTTCAAAGGAAGGATAAACAGTAAATGTACTCTAAAACTCTGTCTTATAACTTTTGAATACTTGAAGCTCCTTCATATTTTGAAATAGAAAAATAAGTTCAATTGCTTTACTGCACATTTTAAATGTGAAATCAATTAATTTAATAGAAGGGTCTTACTTTAATTCTAAATTTTATGGTATCTGGATAGGTACTTTTGACTACTTAATTATCTGAATGTGAGCACATTTTCCAAATGGTAAGACCAAAATCAAGTTTCAGGTAACTTTGACTTTTCTTTAATAGCTTAGGATTCTGAGGTACTGAATTCCAAAGATTCTTTTCAAGCTTCCAGTTCTGCACTCTTATTGGTATGTTTGTGTACTACATATTAGCCAACATTTTTCCTTTCCAGAGCAGTGTTTCCCTTTTCTGGGAAGCCAGAGACAACCTATGGTTATATGCATAGCAAGGCTGATCTGCACTGGATTTATGTCACAAAAATGGATGTCCAATGTCTCCAGAGGCTATACATCATCAGAGGTATATCAGATATACCGTGTCTTCAAAACTGGATAAAGTAGTCCCTTACTCTGCTGTTTGAACACCTTAAAATTTGACCACACATGCTTGTACCCATGGCAGGAAGTGTAATGCTGGAATTACTAAAGCAAAATACAAAAAAACATGTGTGTGGTAAATGACATCTGAAAGCCAGATGTTCAGACTCAAACTCAGAGTCAGGGCTTGTTTGGGTGTTTTGTTGTATTTTGTTTTCCTGGGTTTTCTTGTGGTTTTGTTTCGTTTGGGTTGGTTTTATTTATTTTTTTTTTTTTTTGGCATTTAGACTCCTGTATGGGATTGATTTAATAGATGAAAATAAAATCCTACCTAAAGTGTTTGTGGTTGTATCTGTGTAAGACTGGTGGCCACTCTTAAAAAAAGCTATGATTTAAAAAATTTATATATTTTTAGCTGTTCACTAAAAGCTGGGCTAGAAAAGACAGATATCCAGAGTAAGCAATGTTCTATGTCACAACAGTAAATACTCTTTATTATATTTATTTGTCTCAGTGGGAAGAAGTCTGTGGAGGAAGAGGAGTTTTTTTGTAAGGGAGCTCTCAAATCAGCAGCTGTGTCTGAGGATGGTACTGTCATTTGCTCTTTACCAGCATTTTTCAATTTGTACATCTTGAGTCTAAACTGATATTAGTCTTAAATCACATTGGTCTGCTGGCATATTATGGTGCAAAATTAATTTCTCAGAGGATATAATTTGAGTTATCATGTAACATTCTGCTTATCTACTGATTTTTTTACTTTTGGGTCTCTGCACTTCTTGCCCTACCATGGTTTTGTTGCCACCTATTACATCTGTAATAACACAGTTTACTGCTAATAGTTTGTTATCTTCAGTAACAGATGATATACCTTGAGGAAACATCATGTTCTTCCAGCAGTTTCTCTTATGTCTTTTAATCTATATCTCCTCCATCTTTTACTATACATATTTTTAATACCAGTAGATAAGCTACATGACTTTACTTGAAATTTGATTTGGATAAGCACTTCAGGAGTTTAAAAAATGCTTAATAAATAGATTTAAAAAATGGAAATAATTATTAAAATCTTGAATATGTCTTCATGTCAGTAGATGTATTCCCATTATCCTTAAAATATGGTTTCTGAACGACTAATAAGCTGTCATATGACAAGAAAATAGACAGAAAAAAAGCTGGTGCAAAAACTGGTGAATAAAAATTCAAGATGAATTATAAGAAAAAATTTTTAAAGATTATTAAATGTCTTAACTATTGCCTCCTTACAGTTTTTTAAAAAAATCATGTAATTTCTGGATTTCTAGTTCAGGGGGTGGGGGTGGTGAAGAGCAGACTTTAGTTCATCTGACAACAGCAGTATTTTCAAACCCTAACAGGAAAATAAAAAAACTTCTCAAATTACATAAGTCCTATCCCTTGGATGTCCTTTTATGAAGCATGGTCTAAAAAGGTACAAAATACAAAGAACAGCCTGCTTTTGGCCAGGTCTGAGAAGCTGAAAATGTTTACTACTTATTACCAATTGTAAAAAAATAAAAGGGAAATTTTTCTCAGTATAATTTAAAAGCAATGTATTTTCTTCAAACCTAACTAGTTAATTTTCAATAACTTGCTTGTATTGCCTTTATGCAACACAGATGACTCAAAAGTGTGTTTAATTTATATCTGATGAACGTTTTACTACAGTGTCTTTTTATAAGGAGAGATCAGAAGCAGCTGTGAATGGGTAGTCTACCTTTTCAGATAGAACCTAGGGACAGTATTACCAGGAAGTAAGTCGTTGTAAAATCTTTTAGGGCTACTCTAGTTTATTTTTTGAAGAAAACTTTGCTTCTGTTTTGCATCGGGAAAGAGATAAAAAATTTGAGGACTCTCCTGTAACCACATCATTGCTACAAAGTAAATGGAGTTTTTTTTCTGCTGGATGGTAAACTTATATTAAGAACAGTCATGGCCAGCAAGAAAAGTCTTGAGATCAACTCTCATATCTCATCTCATCATCTCATCTCATCTCATCTCATCTCATCTCATCTCATCTCATCTCATCTCATCTCATCTCATCTCATCTATCTCATCTCATTGCATCTCATCGCATTGCATCGCATTGCATTGCTTCTCATCTCATCATCTCTTTCTTTGCAGAGTGAGATTAGCACATTGTAACCAGTTTTCATTATGGTATAGGTAATGTGTATTAGGTTCATTTTTCTTCTCTAAGTGACCTTCTAATCATTAAAGATCAGCAGAACAAATGTATGGCTGCCAACCAACAGGACTAGGTTAACCAAACCTGCCGAAGTTCAGGAAGTGTGGACAACTCTCTGAGACATGGGGTATCATTCTTGGGACTCTTCTGTGCAGGGCCAGGAGCTGGACTTTGATCGTCCTTATGGGTCCCTTCCAACTCAGGATATTCTATGAGATTAATCTAGGATTTGATACATAGTATGTATCTCCTTTTATACAGCCCACAGTGCAGGATGCAGTGATTACACTTCCAGTTTCACAACACATGAAAACAAGACTATAATGTTACTTCTCACATGATATTAGATAATACAACCACTTAAAAAAATGCCTTAGTGGTTTCATAGAACCAAAAGACTTGTGAAAACACCAGTAAGACAAAACATATGAGCAGTTGGTTTAAATTAAGCACCAATCATATAATAATTTTATTGGTAGAAGAGCGAGTATGTTAGAAATTAACTATTCCTGATTAATTTTTGTATTATAAAATTTTACACTGATCTGAAGTACTACTAATGTTCCTATTTAATAAAATCTAGCATTAAAAATATCTCATGAGGGATTGTATAATCGGTCTCAGTCATTCATTGTCTGATACAATTATCAAAATTCAAGGTAAGTTTCAGAATTTGAAAAACAACAGAAAAATAACATTAGTAAATTTTTACCAGGGATGAGGAATTCATAACCATTAAGTTTATCTCTTTAAGTCACACACACACACACAAAATAAGAACTGAGAAAGAATTTTGTTTCCTTGTGGATTAAATATTATTCATAAAAAATTATGAGACACACAATTTGTATAAAAATTATTTGACTAAGACAGGAATGAACAATTTAAAACAAATCAGTTGGAATAAATAGCTTTTATAGAATCTCAAAATAGTGTAGGTTGGGAGGACCACTGGAGGTCATCTAGGACAAGGCAGTTCCAGAAGGCCACCTAGAACTGGTTGCCCAGGACCACATCCCCATGGTCTTTGAATATCCCCAAGGAGGAAGAGCCCACAGCTTCCTTGAGCAACAGCAGTCATCCTCAGAGTTAAAAAGCATTTACTGATTGGAGGGACTCTCCCTCTGTTTGTGCTCATTGCCTCTTGTTCTGTCACAGGGCACCACTGAAAAATGCCTGTCTCTGTATGCTTTGCACTTCGCAGGCAGGTATTTATAGACATTGATAAGATCCCAAAAGAAATTAAAAAATTACATGGGAAAAATAATATAGTACTTAAAAAAATAACCATATATCAATTTCTTGCTCCATTGAAGATAAATTTATGGACTAATTTTATGTTTTTTTCAATTTTGTTCTGAAAACTTCCTAGAATATTGTATTGCTTCTAACAATCTTAAATATCCTTCTCCCATACTTATAAAATGTGGCTTACAGTAACAAATCTAGCGTCAACAAAGCAGGTTTTGTGTTATATTTCCCAATAGAGCATCAAGAAAAGACACACTGCAATTGATGAAGTAGAATGGTCATGTATCATAAAACCAGTTCATCTGTAATCCTTCCTATCTTAGCACCCCTGGAATGAGACTGGAGTCATTATACTCAGGCTTTTGTGTGCTGGTGAGTACATAGCCTTTCTGAAATCAAGGGTGTCACTTCTGTATTCATTTAGCTCTTTTGTTGGACCTTTAAAAAGTGATTTTAATGGCTCTTTGAAGACTAAAAAGGAGTAAAACTGGTAAAAAAATGTACATTTTAAAACATTTAAATGGGTCATACACTGAGCAAACTGTTCCTAAGTGAATTATGAATTTAGCAAATTTTCCTTTCTCCCAAGCCCACGTAGATTCTGTCAGGAATATCCATGAATAGACTTTAAGTAGTTCATTATTTTTAATTTAATTTCAATACTTGCAAGGGTGTCATGCACATATATCATCAGACTGCTGCAAATTTACAGGCTGCTTGGAATGTAGAATCCTTTACCATCTCTGAGAGATGAAGACATTTTTTGTTCTTCGAAACTAGTCTTCCTTGGGCACTGGAAAATCATCATTTTAGAGGCCCATGTGGAAGGAAAGCTCATCTAGAAGTCAAGAGCATTAGTTTGTCTACTTTGACTATTTAAAGCCTATCTTAAATATCTATGGGTTATCCTGATGCACTTTAAAAAAATCTAACTTATTGTCTTGGGCTTTTGCTGAAGAACCCTTCCTGATTAGGCTCTCTCCCCCATTTTTGTTCCCCTCTATCCATGTCTTTGAGTCACTTCAAGGCCTGTGAAGAATAATTCGGACCTTTTTTTGTCACAGTGGCACAGATTGTAGCCAAAATCAGGTTTTTGTCCTCCTTTAATGGCTCCCAGCTTCTTACAAAACAGATATGAGATTCTAATCTTATCCCTTTATCTATCTGCAATTCTGATCAGTAGTTATTTGTTTCTTTCCTAAGGTATCATTTATCCTGTTAGCATTCCTAAAACATGAATGAAAGAAGAAAAAAGGTTAAAGAGCTTTCAGGATGGCTGCAAAAGGCAAGCTCTTGCCCACATATAGCTATGCATCAGATTATTAAAGAACTTGCTCTCCATTGGTATTTGTACTCAGATACAAAACCCTTCCTGATTTTTTTACTGAGAGCAGCAAATGCCATTAATGTAAGATTGTGGCTTTCAACTGCAGAACTCACCTAAGTCAGCTGGTGGTCAAAGTAAGGTGGTGAGATCGAAAAAGGGCCTACAGGGATTTTACGGGGATTCTCAAGAAAAAATTCCCTTTCATGTTATTATTTCTCATAACGATTGTGTATTCTCAAAATGTAACAGCTTCTTGAAAGGTAATGTTCTCCCCTTTAGCACCTTTCTTTAAAAACAAAACAAAGAAATGATGGGGAGCAGGAGAAAAAGCCAGTGAGAAGTTGTGAAATCTGTTTTGTGGTGAAGTACATTGTTGGATAAACCCCTGTGCATGTGGTATTGTTATAGTGCCTATTATTTGTTCTGTAGAAACTAGCAGCTCTGTATTTACAAAATATATAGTTATGGACTTTGGAACATTTATTTACTTGGATGTCCATAATGGATCTGAATAAACTGCTGTGTAAGCATGCATTCAAGCGTTTTAAAAAAATGCATATTATTTACTTCATTGACCATACACAAAACCATGATGGAAGCACTATTGTTTAGCCAATACTGTTTTGAGGCCATGCCAGAATAATAAGTGAATAGGCATTCATAAGTGTTTCTAAAACATATATCATTTACCTGGTATTAGGAGTGTAGCTTTTCAGAAGTGCTCTAAAGTGTACATTACTAATGTATTTTCCCAATAGTGATTATAGTTAAACACTTGGGATTTTTTTTTTTATCTTTAAGAAAAAGTACCTCTGAAAGTGCCTTGAAAATTTTTATAGCTTTACAGTGAATACAAAAATAGGAACTGCTGTATCCAATAGGATGAATGTTGTTGTTATTACTATTAAGCGCAATAGTACAGTGGTGTTTAGAGGCTGCAGGTGATATTAGGGTCCACTCTGGTATTCACTGTGCAAATATGCAGTTGCAATACTTGCAGTTTCTGAGCTGATTTTTAAAAATGCCATTTAGTTAACCGACTTGCCTAGCATAAAAAGGTTTAGTCTAGCTATCTGCTTATATTCACAACAGAAAAGATAATAATTCTTAAACATTTTAAAGAATTTGTTTAACACATGCTAGCTTAATCTCTGATTTAGGTTTCCATTATTCATTTTTCAGTAATATATGTAAAGAAGAGCATAATTTCTTCTCAAGAAATTAGTCTTACCCTGAAGAAGAAAAATAATTGTAGTATATTCATATTCTGACATACTAAAATAGCTTCATATTTACTGAAATTAATTAAGTGTTGATCAGATGGTGGCATTTTCTCATGTTTTCTTATCACTAGAACCTTCAATCTAAATGTTTTTTTTTTTTACTCTGGTCCAATGTAAGCATAGTGGAATATTGTTGTTTGGACTTAAAACTGTCTTCAATAAGTAGTTCTTCAATAAGTGACTCTAGGAACCCCATCAAAAATCTTTTCTTTTTATCTAATCACAATTTTTTCTGTTGCACTTCAGCCTTTGCTTTTATTAGTCACATCAGAAAATCTGTTTTCTTTGGCATTGCACTTCAGAATATAAGAAAAATGATCTATGCTCTTGCAGCTACACCTAAACCATATAATTTAGAATTTCCTTTCAAAATCTCCAACTGGCCATTTTGTTTGGAGAATACTTCATAACATTCATCCAACATTTTCACAAGAAAATCTTTCGCATTTACTATTGCTCTGCTTCTTTGATTCTATAATTGCCTTCTACAAATGTTACCATTTTTACCTAAAGACAGTTGAAAGTATACCAAAGTCAAATACATTTCACTTGGTAAGGATATGTGTGCAGTTTATATCAGTTCTATTAGAGATATGCAGCCACAGGTTATCCATTTTAAATAGATAGAGGTTTCTTTTAAGAAACCTCATTTACTTTAAGAATATATACCTTTCAGTGTTTGACCCTTCTGTTGCAATAGCAATAGCAAAACAGCACAAAAACAATGTCAATGGATTCATAGCTTACTAAACAGAAAACTTATTTTTGTTTCGCCATGTTTTCTAAAGGTAGAGCTGTAGATGTAGGTAGAACTTATCTATGCAGTTCCAAATTAGTATTTTATGTTTCTTCAGGCTCTTGATTCTTGATAGGGAGTGTCTTGAGCCAATGTTCCATATTCAAGCAGAGGTGATTATGCATAAGTGCTGCCATTTGTTGCAAGTGCTTTTCTGAGTATATAGACAGTGCTTTCCTTTTGGGCTAGTGCTCTGTCAGTATTTGAGCTATTACACAGGTAAAGGTGTGATCACCTTCATGCCACCTCTAATGAGTGCTGCACACTTTAAAATTTCCCTTCTGTTCTTACATATCATCCTGGAGATTAAGGAGACTAGGACCTTCGAAAGCACTTACCTTCTGACTACTGTCTGCATTTCATATGACTTGTCATTTTTTTGTTTTCTAATAGTTTAGCAGAGGAATCCATTGCAATCGTATACAATGCATGGAAGACAGTAAAGAATATATAGAATATATACAGTGCTGTTATTGCTTAAAATTTGTGGATCTTTATTTGAATGTTTTGTTTATTAGTCAACACAGATTGCTGCATAAACCATAAACTATACAAACAGGCACAGGTATATCAAGTAAGTAATTATAATTCTTACTGTTAAATGACTGCTTAATCATGCCAAATGGTTTGGTTACTTTGTGCAATACCAGAAACAAATATCAGTTACCCTACATCAACTTACTGTGTATTTCTGCATCAGGTTAGAAAATATTTAGTTTACAAATATATAAACACATATTACTTTGTTTTATACTGACAGTATTTGTATAAGACAGTTACTGATTTATGTCTTTACTTTTCCAATAATAAGAACTTCTAAAGGTGAAAAATTGTAACCATAAACTTACTTGATTGGGCAAATATTTTTTTTCTTAAAGGTTGTTGGTCTAGAAGTAAATTTGTTAATTATCTTTGGGAATGGTGAACTTGCCTTATGGGAGGCTTGAGTGATGGCAGAGAGCTTATTGGGGGTGTCTTGAGAGCCACTTCCTTGACTTCTCCTGTCTCTCTCCAAAGACATCTTGGCAGTGATGAAATACTGGCAGTTTGTGATGATAGTCTTATGAAATGAAGTTATAGTACACACAGTATGGTTCCTTAGTGTTTTGTTGCTAAGTAGTGCTTGTGCATGTTTAATCCCTTCCTTGAAATTTCCAAAATAGAAAATAGACACCTGGAGGGAAGGAAAACTATTCATCTCCGACCTGAAATATGTTTTCTTACATTGCTAAATAAAGGACTACACAAATTCCCTTATTTACACACCCACATTATGCCAACGTACATGTTAACCTTTACAGTTGGCAGAAATTGGGAGACTGGCTGCCAGTTTCTGTTTTGTATAGATTGATGTAATCAAGCATGGCATTGCAGTATGAAATATGTAACAAATGATGTTAGAGTATATCGCACCAACCTGCAGTGAGCATGAAAGGAGCGTTTCAGAAAGACAGCAAAGGGCTTATCTTGAACCTTGCTTTGTCTAATGTACTGGGGAAGAATGTGAACAAACAAATTTGTTTCTGTAATGGTATGAGAGTCTGCAAATGAGATCTGCAAATAAATAGAAAGAGGAAGAGGAAGAAACCCTAAAAGGGGCAGAATAAGTTATTTTGATGTCACATATGTAGATGTGTATTATACCAGTAGAACTAAAGCAGGGATGATATTCTGCCCCTGCTGGAACCAGTGGGTCAAAATACCACTCAAATGTCTTTAATGGAATGCAGTCCTAAAGACAAATTTCCTCAAGACACTTTATATCCATTCTAGTATTCTTGCTGCCAGCAAAACAGCTTTACTCCATAGTGCAGATAACTTTTCAGATCTGTCCTTAACACAAGATATTTGAG